AAAACGAAATTAATTTATAAACTCTAAAAATATCTATATTTTTAACTATTTCTATATCTAAACTCTTATTTTATGACATATATTCTTCACGATTTTTACAGAAAAAGATATAAAATATGATGAGTTAATGCTAATTAACAAATTTGAGCTAATTTTTTTACAATCTCTCGACCTAATTTAAACAGAATTATATAATTCTCATTTTATTTTTATTTGATGTTATATTTATATTATTTTGAATTATTATAAAATAAATGTAGTTAATAAATTGGGTATTTTTGATAGAAATAATGATAATCGGATATATGAGTATTTTTGACAGCAAAAATAAGAAACCTTACCGGACTTGTATGGTAACTTCTATGTAAATTATTCAATTTAAAATCGAATATTAAATCAACAAATACAATTCCGAAGTATATGGTAACTTCTTCGTTATTTAGGGAAAAAATTTCGCTAAGATATATAGAATCTTCTAATTATCATATTAACCATCAAATATTCTCTACGATCTTGAACTATGGAAAGTCATAAAGTTGGTTTACTGCAAAATTATAAAAATCGCGAAAGCGCAAATCAAATATGTTAAGATCTTTAACGATAGAAACTAAAATTAATTTCGTTTAGATATTCTGATGCGATTAACTATAGCATATCTACGCTAATTACTTATAGAATATTTTGCAGAATATGCTTTTCTTAAAACCCTAATAAAGCAACCTAATTCTAAACATTATAAATATAGGCTCTGCTATTCGGCAAATCATTTTTCATTCATCCACACAAACTTCTCTTAGCATCTATGCTTCAGTTTTTGAGCAATCTAATTTTTATTTTTCATTGTGTATTCTCTATTTTCTATTAATGATGTTATGTTTCTACGATTTTAATTCTTTTTTTTGTTTTGATATCTCAGCATCTATGCTTCAGTTTTTGAGCAATCTAATTTTTATTTTCATTGTGTATTCTCTATTTTCTATTAATGATGTAATGTTTTTACGATTTTAATTCTTTTTTTTTGTTTTGATATCTGTTAAATACAAACGCGTGCGGCGTGTCTAAGTATATGTTTTCCTAAAAACATAGTATTTTCCTTACCCCTAAAACATTCATTACCAAGATTTCAAAATTCCATTTTACCGCTAAATCATAATTAATATGACAGATTTTTATTGTAAACAATTTATCATTTTTTCATACACTACACAATTTTCTCTACTAAAAATATACAATATTAAAATCAATGTCACAACATGTAAAATTAATATTTCCAGCGGTATACCGCGGGCTCTCAACCTGAAAAAGAAAAATTAATTTTATTATTTAGTAAAATTATAGGCCCGCGGTGTACCGCGGGTTAATTTCTAGTTATTATTATTAATAGAAAGTTTGGTTATATGGTAACTTGTAAGTTTTATATTTGCCAAATGGGTAGTTTTTTTTGTGTGGTAAAGAAGGAAACCCTAAAGCAGTAACTAAAATTTCTTTTGGAATAAGTAACAATCATCTTTTTTGGGTCAAATAAGTAACAATCTTTATAAGAAAAAAAAAAAAAAAAGTAACAATCTTATATATATATTTCTAAAGACTTACAAGTAATCTTCTAGAAGAAAAACATAGAATGATAACTTTACTTACGAAACGAAGACTGATCATTGATTAAAAGTAAAAAAAAAAAATTATATGATTTATGAGAAGAAAAAGGGTTCAGGTAATTTGAGTTACGAATATTTGCTGAAAGAATAGAAAAGAAAAAAATCTTCCAAATCGAAAGAGGAAAAAAAAAGAACAGAGGCTCAGACATAAAAATAAAAACATCAATGGGCTTTTAAAGATATTCGGTTCATAATAATACTAATAAGTCACTTAAACGGCCCAATTTGTTTTTCAAACAGTCGTTAAACAAAAACTGTAAAAATGTAAAAAAGTCGAAGAAGCAAATCAAAGAGACGTTTCCACAACGGTCAATAAGTTCAAATCAAAACATTTGTATGTAATACATCCGTGTTATTCACAGCGGCGGGGAAACAAATTTGAAACATGGTAAAATACGAAATAGGACAGAAAAATAGCCGTTTCTTTACAACGGTAAAAAAATATACTATAGAATATTAAAACATGGATGGTTATAAAAGGAAACACAGAGAAGAAAACTTGACTTGGCTGTCTCCAATTTCTCTTTAGGTATGTGTATGTCTGTGATCGTCGCCATATATCTATCTCTTTTAAAACCCTGTGCTTTCACATTTCAAATGCTTTGGATTTCAGATTTTGATTTTGCTTTGGTTGTTTTCTTTCTTTCAGACTCCTCTTTAGGTGGTGCAATGAAGATTCTTATCAAGACGGTAAAGGGAAAGATAATAAACCTAGAGGTTGAGGATAGCTCCGAGACAATCGACATCAAGATCCGTGGAGAGTCCGACCCGTCAACTGGTTTTGGGTCTGGGTCCAGCGGGTTCGGGTCAAGGTGAAGTCATGATGATTTTTGTATCAACGCTTAAGGGGAAAACATTCGACCTTGAGGTGAAGGGATCCGAGACGATTAAACAAGTCAAGAACATGATCCATGATCACGGTGGGCCACCAGTGAACAAGCAGAGGCTGATGTTTCAAGGCAGGATGCTCGCAGACGGTCAGACCATAGCTGACTGCAACATCAAGACAGACGCAAACATTGTCATGATGTCGGAACAATGCGGTTGCTAAAATGGTGGAAAAACGGCCAATTCCCCCACAAACTATGTTACTTTATCGCATTCATACATGAAACTTTGTTGTGTGCCTAAAACTACGTAAACTCATATTAAATTTGAATTTCATACCCGAACAAAACAAATTCGGCATAAACCCACAAATTTCTAGATGCTGTTAATATTCCGTTAACTGTAAGCTGATTAGGATGCCACGTGGATGATAACACAAAACGACATCGTTTTATTTATAAAAAAAAAAACTATAAGCTGTTAATATTCCGTTAACTGTAAGCTGATTAGGATGCCACGTGGATGATAACACAAAACAACTCACAACCCTTGATGTTGCAGTCAGCTAATTTGTGGGGGAATAAAGTAACATAGTTTGTGGGGGAATTGGCCTAAAATGGTCTTTGTTTGTTTTGCAAACTTATCTTTAACTAATTTCTAATGTCTAGGCGTTGTCAATTTGGAATTTTAAGTAGCTGTTTAATTATTTTGGAAACTTTTCTGGCTTGACAAGGAAAAATGATGTAAGAAAATTGCAAGATGATATATATATGGCCAATTTCTTATTCGATTCTTATCATTATTATTGCAAAGATTAATCAATCATTATGACAAATTAAACACACAAAAAAAAAAAAAAAACATGAAAAGCAAGATGCAATGGGTGATTGAGCTTAATGAAGTTCAAACAGCGCTTTGAGATTATAAGGTTCGGTGACGTTGGTCGATCCGCTCCAAATCAGCTCTGCAATTTGTTGATGTGCTTTCTCAGTCAAATGAAAAGGATCAAAGAACAAGTAATCTGTAACGTTTTCGCATAACTCGTAACTTTGAGATACTCCCATTCGGCCTCCACATGTATTGATTCCCCTCAATGGTCCGGTTCCACAACATGCCTTCTTCCCCTCCTTAAACCCTATATATATCAAATAAAACGATCCAAAAGGTTATACTAAAGAATCTGTTACATCAGTTGCAATTATTAAGCAATGTTACCGTATTTCGAAGGATTGTTCATTCGTTCGGATAAGGAAGTGTGATAGTCATGAAGAGCGTATTTGAATCCCGATAGTTCACGCTCTAGCCGCCTCAAACCATCCCGAAGCTTATCGTTGTGCAGACTGATCAGCTCGGTGACCGGCTTAAAACAAGATCCTATTTTTGTTTGGTCTATAATCAATGAGGCTGGTGCACAATCATACGCTCCCATGTTCAAGAATCCAAACTTCCTTCCTCCAATTCTATACACTTCCTAAGAACATAAACACAAGCTCACATTAACTGATCAACCTTGTCCACAAGAGAATCCATACATCAATTTTGATATGATTTACCTTGATCACGGCTGTCGTGTTACTGACAACAAAATCAACGTATATCTCTCGAGGATTGGATTGGAAAACGGAAGAGTTTGTAGAGAATGGATATTGATAATCGTTGACTCCGATATGAAACAGATAAACTGCTGTTGCAATAACCCTCTTCCCTTGTGCTTCTCCTAACTTAAATCTCAACAATTCTTCAACCTTTTTAAAGTTGTCTAATTGTGTTTTCAAATCTATCACCTTGAGTGGTAAAAATGGGAAAAAAGAGTGTAAAAAGTCAAAACAATTATCATCCATTCAGCTAATAACAAAAATACAAATATGAAAGTTATAACAAATAACTGATGATTACCATTCCGGGAAAGGTGCCGGCTAAAGCTCCGGCACCGGCGGAAGCAAAACTAACTCCATAGGTAAACTGATTTTGACCGTTACTTGGTTGTAGATATGGTGGGATCAACGGTAACCATGCGTACTCCGCTGTCACGTCGGAGATTAGTTAAAAAAAAGCCGTTAAAATTTGCCGGGAAACAAAACAGAGTAATTTTGTTACCAATAAAATCAGGAATTGTACGTCCGTCGGAGACTCTTCCAGTAGGGAATTTGAAAGTGGTTTGGCCGTATGGCCAGTAATTAGACCGGAAACTGGGAAGAGTATCGATGTAGTTGTTGTTTCCAGCATCGAACACAGAATCTCCAAACACGAACAAAGCGGATTGGTTTGTTACCAGATTGTTGTTGTTGTTGTCTCTGCAGTTGATGGAATCGATCAATACGATTGTTGTGTAAGCAAAGAAGATGATTGACGTTGATCGAGAGTTTTCCATGTTTATTGTTGTGTTCTTGGATCTTGGTATTATTGCAAATGCTCTGTTTTGTGCTTGTACAATAATGATCTGTTTTGTTCTTCATATAATAGCAAGTGCTCTGTTTTCATTTATAAATATATATTTGATTTTTTTCCAATAGTTTATTTCAATAAAATTGGTTGATTGATAAGAATTTTTTTTCTTGTGGTCAAGTTGTATCTAATAAATAGTGTTGTAGAATAAATCTTCTAACTGCCCATTTGTTTTTTATTTTTTGTTGTTGTTGTCGTCGTTTGTTCTTATTGAGACCTATACTATATAACCATTTGAGAGAGATTGTTGTGAAAACGTAAGGATTTTGAGTTGTTGAGCAATCCAATCATTGTGGTCATTGCGTACGTGCCGTTATTGTTGTATACAATATGGCCACTAGAAACAGAACGTTTTAGTGTAACTACTTCTGATATTGATAACGAACTATGTTACAAGACCGGAGTTATATACCTGATTTAAATATCTCTACAGCCCATTTTTTTCATTTGCTTGTGGCCTTCGAAAACTTAGAGCCGGCTCTAACTAAAGGTCAGTTGGTAGCCAAACTTCAGAACTTGAGGAAAAAAATTGATGACAAAGTTGTGAAGTCTTTTGAAAAAGGAAAGACTAAAGAACAGATTGTTTATTCAAAAGCTTTTGACCAGAGATGTTATGATTTATCGAGAAAGATTTGGGGAATTAACTGTGTTTTTCCTTCAAAATCAAAGAATATGCGCCAAGGTCAGCTTGAAGGAAGGTTCAAGGATGAAGAAGATGAAGAGCCAGAGAGCACACCCTTATCTTTTGGTCAAGAGTTCGTCTCTTTCGTTAAAGCTGAGAATCTGAATTGTGGGGTATTGATGAAGCAGAGTATGTTGCAAGCTGGGATAAGGTCAAAGATGGACCAAAGAAGCGAGAGTTGGAAATAACGTTGAAGAAGATGGAGGCTAAGCAAGCGGAGCTTTGTATGATAAGGATTGAATTTGTGGCAGACGCGGCGAATGTGATGTTTAAACAAGACAACACATCTTCTTCGGGTAAGTAGATGGAAGAGTTGGTTGAATTAATGTTTTTTTTTACCCTTATTAGTTTGCATTTTGCGGCTTTGGTTTTGATTGGTAACATTTGGAAATTTATCGGTGTGGTTTGGCTTTTAAACTTTTGTTTATGGTCCATTTTAGCTGTTCTATTGGATATTTTTGTGTTTGCTCCTTTTGTTATATGCTTGATTGGGTTTAAGACCCCTTCCATTATGTGAACTGATATTTTATGTTTTTGATATCTTGGAATGGCCTTTTAAACCCACGATCCAATAGAGTAGTTTCTGTTGTAAACATTGGGACGAAAGCCACACTTTCTATCTGTAGAAAGACTCTCACATATGGAAAAAGGAATTGAAACCAAAGGGATTATATTAAGTTACTATTCACACATAATTACGTTAGACGCCATTGTGCATCAGCAGAATCACAGATTGCTGCAATAGTACTGTAATCTTATGGTACAATTTTTTTTTATTCTGCAATATTGTAACCAGGCGACCATGTAATGGCTGGTATCTATAGATTATAATAGATCCGTTCAAGTTTAGCAACAACTTTTCCACTGATAAAACTTGAAAAGAATTCTTAATTACCCAAGTAAACACACCCAAGTTTAAATTTTAAATTTGTTTCAGTCTAACTATTTTGATTTGGTTCTGTCTAGTAAAATTAAAAGAGATTATCAGAAGCAGAAGAAATAAAGAGAAAGAATGTAGACTTCAGGGGCAAATTAGCTCTAGGAAAAAATGTTTTTAACAAAAAATATCCATGCATATCAACAAAAAAGGAAAATCTTATTTAGTGTCAAAAGGAGGAATTTTGTAATTAAGGCCTTGGACCAGTAACAACAATATATGCTAAATCACAAATGGATTTTTTTTTTTTTTTAAGACCAATGTTACAGAAGTAAATTTTACATAGAACTGTAGATTTCCAATAAGAAAACCAAAGAATTATCTTGGTTTCTTCACAACGGTCTATTATTAATTAGAGGGTCAAACAACTGGAAAAGAATTATCATATGGGAACTTGTGAAAATTAGAACAAATAAAATCTCCCAAGGATCTATAAATGCTCTCAAATTCTCGACGGGATAGAGATGCAATCACTTAAAGACTTTTCTCGAGCATATTCAAAACAGAAAAGGTGTGAAATATTTTCAAGATCAGTATGGAGTGATGCTGATGAGATATATATTAGAGATATGATTAAAACGTTCATGAACCTAGAGGTTAAGGTATTCGACACCATCAAAAGCATCAAGGAGAAGATCCAAGAAAAAGAGGACTTTCTGTTCGCTGACCAGAGGCTCATCTATCCCGGCAAACAGCTCGAGGATGATCGTACCATATCCGACTGCCACATCCAGGATGGATCGACACTTATCCTGTTTGTCCGTGATGGTCGCTATGATTTAGCTCAAGGCAATGTAACTAGTGGAGTTAACTAGTGAGTAAGAATAATCTAGTCTTCCTATGAATGAAATAAAAATAAAATAACATTTTGAAATAATTGAGCTCTTATTTATTTTATCTTTCCTGATTTGTGTATTACGTAAACTTTTTCCTAGGCTGAATTGTTTGTGAAAATTGAGCTCTTCTTTGTTTCTTTGAGTATTTTACCGTTTTGAGTTATAAGTAGTTTTACATTTTAAAAATCTTATAGTATATTAGTAGTATGTATAAAAGATAGTGGAGGTTTTCCATAAATGGGGGGTATATTACACAATCAATTTCAAAGATAAAACAAAAAAAAAAACACATACAGATCGAAACCAAGTGACTGTTTGTAAAATAATTTATGAAACCTGCAAGATTTGTCCAATCTCTTTTTCTCTGAAGAACAAAACGTTCTCGCCTTGTATAAAGCCATGATTTATCTTCCGATGCAGGTTTCTTGCGGTCAAAGTAATAGTGATTGTAGTTCAAAAATTTCTTTTGAGCAGATTGTTCTTATTATTGCAAACACTCATCAATTCTTATTATTTAAAAAGAATATGACTACTAGCTACTATAGGACTAGACAAGATAGTAACCTCGTCTTTTATTTTCATACCTATATATGTATACATCGACAAAATCTACTTCAATTCAAACAGGATTTGGAGATTACAAGGTCCGGTAACATTCAACGGTCCGCTTCAAATAAGCTCAGTGATCTGTCAATGAGCCTTCATGTGTGATGGACAGGAAATATTGAGAAATTAAGTAAAAACTTTGATTAAAATTTTAAGAAATCACACTAATATGTTTGACCCACATAACTGGTAGGTCAACCGTAGTGTCATACGGCCTGTTTTGTCTTTTTATAATTGTCGAATTAAATTTGTAACATCTCCGGAAAGGAAACCAAAGAGTCACGCACCAACTTGGTTTCTTCACAACGGTCAATTACAGCTCAGTCTAACACTTTTTTTTTTTTGTCAACCGCTATTAATTAAGACTCAAAAGAGCCATTTCTGAGGAATGTTGTTTACATACGTGATGTGATGCGGTTCGGTACGAACATTTCGTGCCAATTTATCCGCTTTTACATTTGCACTACGAGAAATTAAAGATAAAGAAAAATTTGTGAATTCCTCTTTGTCGCTCTGTAACTCCTCCAAATACGCTGAAAATGCCGGCCATTCGGTTGGAGAAGACACCATCTTCACCAGGTCTGAACAGTCTGTGAAAAAAGCCACATCTTGGTTATCGGCACCTATCATGCACTTCATTGCCCAAAGAAGAGCTTCCACTTCGGTATGTAAGGGAGAGAGACTTCTACGCAGGTTTGCAGCTCCCATGGTTGGCGTCTCTCCATTAACTAAGGTACATACCCAGCCTGTACCTGAAAATTTATCACTTTTTTTCCACGATCCATCTATGAAACAACGATGGCCAGAATAAGAGGTATCCTGAGAAATATCCCTTACTCGAGGTCGAGTATCCTGAACCAACGAACCCCGATTTTCAGCATGTAGCTCGACTTGAGCTGCCTGCCACGATTGTGCCTCTTTTTCCGCTAAACATAAAACCTCACATGGATCTTTATCCACATTATCGAAAAGTTTCTCATTTCGTGCTTTCCAGATATACCAAATTATCCAAGGATATGATGTTGAATCGAGTTCTGAGGGTATTCTCCAAAATAAGTGGTCCAAATTTGCATAAATAGAAGCTGAAGGAAACGTTCATGGAACCGTAGGTATCTGCGAAAGTGCCCAAATTTGCCGTGTAGGGTGGCATTCAAAAATTGTATGATTAATAGTTTCCACTTCCGCACCGCACCTTGCGCATCCTATGTCACAATTTATCCCTCTTTTCCGCAGATTTTCTGTGACCGGAACACAACCTGCTAACATTTGTCACAAAAAGTGCCGTAGCTTCGGCGGACAATGCACTTTCCGAGTATGTGCTTTTAGTAAATTGATTTGTGGGCCAATAAATGACAAATTATTTTCCTGGTTTTCTAGCCGGGCCGTATGATATCCAGATTTAACTGAATATTTTCCGGATTTTGTGAAATGCCAACCTAGAGTATCCTCCTTTGTTGGCGCACCCAAATGCAGAGCGCATATCAGAGAGACGTCTTCCGGAATAAAGAGCTCATTTAAGAGATCCATCTTCCAAAAATTTGTCCGTGTATCTACAAGATTATTAACTTTTAATGACGGGTCAATAATAGAACCGTTGCTTCTTGCTGGTCTCGGGAATTGAGCTGGAATCCACGGGTCTTCCCAAACTGAGATGGAAGCCCCCGATCCGACTCTTTTAATAAGTCCTTTATTAACCAGAGATCTAGCTGAACATATACTTCTCCATCCATAGGATGGAGAGTATGATTTAATATTATCCAGAGGATTGGATTTGCGAAAATACCGACCTTTGAAAACTTTCGCAAATAGAGAATCTGGGACCGTAATCAACCGCCATAATTGTTTTGCCAGTAGAGCCGAATTAAAATCATCTACATTGCGAAAACCGAGTCCACCTTCCGACTTACTATTACATAGTTTGTTCCACGCCATCCAATGCATACCTCTAGAATCACTATTTGAACTCCACCAGAATTTTGCGACCGCACTTGTAAGTTTAGAAGTAATTGTTTTCGGTAGTCTGAAGCATGACATAACATAAGTTGGTAATGCCGCAGCTACCGATTTAATCATTACTTCTTTTCCGCCCTTTGATAAAAATTTTGCCGACCAACCATTTATCCTTGTTTGTAACCTATCTCTAACAAACGAAAATATTTTTGTCTTCGAGCCTCCTAGACTTTCCGGTAACCCTAAATATGAGCCCATGCCGCCAAGGTTATTAATTCCCAACACTGCTTTTATTTCCGGCTTGATTGCTTCTTCCACTTTATGACCAAACTGAATTGATGATTTTGTGAAGTTAATCTGTTGTCCCGAAACCGCTTCGTATTGCTTTAGGATCCTTAAAATTACCGCACACTGCTCTTTGTTGGCTTTACAAAAGAACAAACTATCATCCGCAAATAACAGATGAGAAACCGGAGGACTTGCTGTTGCTACTTTTATGCCCGTAATCAACTTCTCGTTTTCCGCTTTTCTTATATTCGCAATTAGCACTTCCGTGCAAAGGATAAATAAATAGGGGGATAAAGGATCCCCTTGTCTTAGACCCCTTTCTGGTAATATTAGTCCTCTAGGCTGGCCGTTAATAAGAACCTTATATTGGACCGTTGTTACACACAACATTATCCAAGATATCCATTTCTCACAGAAACCCATTTTTCGTAATAATTCTTCGATAAATTTCCATTCCACCCGATCATATGCTTTACTCATATCTGTTTTAATAGCCATAAATTTGCCTTTACAAGACGGATTTGTTCTTAAACCATGGAACATCTCTTGCGCGATAAGAATATTATCCGAGATTAGGCGGCCTTCAACAAAAGCCGATTGTGTTTCAGAAATTAGATTTGGTAGAACCGTCTTAAGTCTTTGACACAGAATCTTTGAAATAACTTTATAACCAACATTGCAAAGACTTATAGGCCGTAATTCCGTCATCCGTGTCGGTCGCTCCGTTTTTGGGATAAGGCATATGTTAGTCGTATTTAGCCGTTTATCAAAAACTCCATCTTGTAAAAAAGAGTTTACAAGGAGTACCAAATCTTTTTTTATGGTAGCCCAAGCTTTCTGAAAAAACAAAGCTGTCATACCATCTGGTCCCGGTGCTTTTTCCGGATGCATCATAAACAAAGCCGCTCTCACCTCATTTTCGATCGCAGGCGCCGTTAAGAAGTCATTGATCTGATCCGTTATCAGTGTTTTAACCTCTGCCAGTGATTCTTC